GCCGGGGGTGGTCGGCCGGGGCCGGCACCCTAGGGCCCGAGCCGACCCAGGCTGGAAATGCCGGGGGGCCAGCCTGGGCCGCGCCTCCTCCCCCCCCCCTTACCTGCTTCAGGCTTCCCGCGAATCAAATATTCGCGGGAAGCAGGGGAGGGGGCGGAGACTTTGGGGAGGGGGTGTGGGCGGGGCTAGGGGTGGGGCTGGGGGCGGGGCCGGGGGCCGTGGAGTGTCCTCCATTTGGAGGCACAAAATATGGTAACCCTAGGAAAGATCCAAATTCCCATTCTTGTGCTGTGTCCCACCAATCACAAGCACAGTTTTATTTTAAAATACAAATAAAATGATTATCCTCTTTCAAAAGACCGTAAGAATGGCCATACTGGGTCAGACCAATGTCCATCTAGCCCAGTATCCTGTCTTTGGACAGTGGCCAGTTCCAGATGCTTCCAAGGAAATGAACAGAACAGGGCAACTTACCGAGTTTGTAAGACAGGTTTGATAAAAACATCGCTACTGTGAATTAATTTTTAAAAATCACTTGATCCTCCTCCCCATTGGGATGTGTACATCTACACATACGCATACTGAACAAATGTTTCTCAAACTTGCCTTTTGTTCTGCTGTCATAGTCAGACTCTGTAGTCTAATAGTCATGTTTCCAAGGCTCTGCTCAAACGCTGCCACAAGGTGAGCCTGAAAATTAAATGACAATGTAGAATGAATACTGTTCTCTCCCCCAAATAAAAGTATGTGCTTATTTAAGTATTTAAGAAATGTTATATGGCATCTTCCAGTGTTTGTTAACTAGATACCACTTAGAGAAGTAGAGAGGTTAGAGTAGGCTTGGCAAAATAGGAACAACTCTTGCCAAAAACATTTACAAACAAAACTTCTAGCAGTGACTTATGTGTGGGAGTGTCAGCAATGCCAGAAGGTAACAGTTTTGAAAATCCTCGAGCTTTGAGGCATAAACCAACCTCTGATTATCGGAGGTTAGCAGGAACCCTTCCTGGGGTGCAGATTATCCCACAATTGCCAACTGCAGTGTTTCTTCCTCTAGAGCAGTTGATACTGGTCATTGCTGGAGACAGGATACTAAGCTAGAAGGATCATTAGTATGATCTGGCATGGCAATACTTAGGTTTCCTAAAGACATATTGCTTATAGTAAAGATATTCTTTACAGTTCTCCCTGATTAATATTCTACAACAATTTTTCACTATGAGATCAGTGGACGGAACAGGAATCTCACAAACGTACAGATAGATCAGCAAATAATTGCAATCTGTTCTGGACTGGAGATTTTATTTATTCTGAAAAGAAAATACAATCCTCCATATAGAGGATAACAGAGTGAGAACTGTTCTAGAGTAACTAGGAATAAAATGCCTTTGAAAAACACTGAGCCTCATAATAGGTCCAGTCCATTTTATGTATTTTTCATAGTAGTTTAAAGCTGCCTGGATTTCATTCTAACTGGGCAACTTTTATTCTGCTGCTTTGTTCAGCTGGAAAGAACCATTAGACCCAGTGTTGGAAATGTGAGACAACATCATTTAATTTTTTTTGTAAAGAACATTTCAAGGACTAAATTTTGTCCTTTGAATATTAAGGAACAATACAAAAGCAGATTGCTACCACCACAATCTCTATATAGACTAATAGTTTTCAGTACCTTTGCACTTCCAAAGCACCTCTTACCAGAGAGCCTCAAAGCATTTTACAAACAGTAAGTTTACAAACAGGTAGTTAAGTATTACTATAGACATTTCTCAGATGAGGAAACCGAGGCATAAAGAGGTTAAATGGTTTGTTCCAAGCCACAAAGCAAGTTTGTGACAGAGTGGGGAAGAGAACCCAGAAACCTTGACCCCCACTATCCCATTAGATGACAACATCTTGCTTTATTCATGAATTCTTTTACAAAAAAAATATAAAGACTCCGTGGTGGCCATGATATGGTGAATTATTTTTGTTTACGGGTGGAAAAGGGAGAGTGAAAGATTAAAATAGGAGGAATAGGAGGGGTGTGAATACATGCAGGGGGAAAGAATCTCCAGGGCTCTGTCAATGACATGGAGGTCCCCCCTATTATTTAAACAATAGAATTAAATAATAAAGAAGTGGCTATATAAAAACCATACATAACGGCAGTGATGGAACTCTAAAGGGCGTACGATGATGCTCTGAAGATGTACACACCAATGTCGTCTCTATGAAATATCCCAAACAATATGTATGAATTCTATGTCAGGTAAAATCAGAAACAGTCGCATCTTCCCTTTACTGAATTGCCATTAAAAATCAGCTGGGAAATCAGCCAGTAGAATGATTAAAAAATACTCCACAAAACATTTTAAATACTTCAGTTTCAGGATTTTAAAATATGACCAAAATTTGCAGGTTTCACATATAGCAACAGTTTGCAAACATGATATAATTTGATTTTAGTACGGCTTTTGACATGATATTCTCGTAAGCAAACTAGGGAAAGGTGGTTTAGATTAAATTACTATAAAGAAAGAGAACGGGTTGACAAACCATATTCAAATATTCAAAGAGTTGTTATCAATGGTTTACTATCAAATTGGGAGGATGTATCTAGTAGGGTCCTGCAGGTATCTGTCCTGGGTCTGGTACAACTCAATATTTTCATTAGTGACTTGGATAATGCAGTGGAAGAGTTTGCATATAAAATGTGAAGATGACAGCAAGATGGGAGGGGTTGCTAGTACTTTAGAGCACAGGATTAGAATTCAAAATGACCGTAAAAAATTGGAGAATTGGTCTGAAATAAATGAGATGAAATTCAATAAAGACAAGTTCAAAGTATCACACTTAGGAAGGTAAAATCAAATGTACAACTACACAATGGGGAATAACTGGCTAAGCAGAGTACTGCAGAAAAAGACTAATACCACTCTGAGGTATATTAACAGGAGGGTCATATGCAATACCCAGATGTGACAGTGTACCCTTGTGTTCATCCTTTTTACAAAACTATAATAGATTTGTATGAAGTATGCATTGCGAGGTATCATTTGAAAACTCAAATCTGCTGAACATTATTGCCCAGGTAAAATATGTGTGGCAACATTGTATGTAGAGTTATAAAATTCTACTCTATAAGACCAGTTCCCCAGACACAAAAGACAAACTCATGTCTCAGCCAGGTCTCAACACAATCATATGGACTATCACCTGATTAAGCGATCATTCTTTGGTAGGAAGAAAGGTGTGAGCAAGAAATTTACATCTTGGCAATGGAACAGCGGGGGGTTCCCTTGTACACAGACTGGCTGTTGCCTGAACCCCAGCGGGAGATGATTCTCAAAGTGGAGGAAAAAGATATAAAAATGAGCAAACACCTCTCTCCCCTTATCTCTACTCACATCATCAACAACATTTGAAAGAGAATGAAAGCATGATTGAACTGGGGGAGGGGTCTTGACAGAGGAGGAATCCAGCCAGACTGCTATAAGCATATGGTGAGAGAAACCTTTTTGCTTTGAATTCACTTAGCTTGATAAGTTAGATATTAGTTATTTCTTTGTAACTAATTCTGACTTTTATGCTTCATTGCTTGTAATCACTTAAAATCTATCTTTCTGTAGTTGTTAAACTTGTCTTATTGTTTTATCTATGCCAGTGTGTTGGGATTGAAATGTTTAGGAAGCTTCATTTGAGATAACAATGTTTGTGTATATCATTTTCTATTAATGAAGTGACGGACCTTATATAAGCTCGTATTGTCCAGGAAGGTACTGGGCAGTACAAAAAACACATTTCTAGGGAAAAGTCTGGGACTCGGAATTTGCTGGTGTCACTCTGCAATATAATTCAAGAGTGGTTAGCTCAGAGCACTCATATAACTCAGCTAGGAATCATTTACATGCTGGAGGGTGTGAGTGTGTGTGTAAAAAGCACCTTAAAGACTAACAGATGTATTGGAGCATAAGCTTTCAGGGGTGAATACTCACTTCGTCAGATGCGCGTGTGTGTGTGTGTGTGTGTGTGTGTGTGTGTGTGTGTGTGTGTGTGTGTGTGTGAGAGAGAGAGAGAG